TATTTTGGACCAGACGGGGACTTGAACAGGCAACCCTCCGGTTCCCAACCCAAGTCCCTATGGACTGAGCTACTGCCGGACCTGCATTCGCATAGCGCCTTTCTAGTCATCCGACCACTCAAAGCGCTCTATACACTACGAGTCACATTCACCCATTAACACACACATTCATACACTGGTGGCTGAGGCTACCATACAAGGTGCCACCTGCGACTGCCGCTGAACTTCCGATTGGTGGATATCCCACTCCACCCCACACAGTCACAGCTGTATGGTGTATTTATTTAGTTTGGGGAACCTGACGTTCTCAATAAAGTTTTAAGCTCATGTTGGCTGGAGGACTTAACATGGACTAGAAATCAGGTCCATTGCTAGGTCTTTTCTAAGGTTTGACCTACTTGCTGGGGCAGTAATGTAGGTTTCATTACATATAAGAGTCTACTGACGTGACTGATTTGTTTCCAGGCCCTGTGTATTTCCATGGAAATGGAGGCAACAGTCGCAACGTTATATGTGGCACTTCAGTGATGCGTGCGTATATTGTTTGTGCCTTTGATAGGATCAGGTAGGCTACATCTATCATAGCTACAACATATATTTCTAATTTAAGGCACCCTTAGGTTTTAGTAGTAGAGGGTTTAGTCTATCACGGCCAGGTCACAACAGAATTTTTGACGCCAAAATTTTGGACCCAAATCAGTTTACAACAGAACTGCCGAAATCAGTGGCTTCCCTTGTGTAGGCAAAGTAAATCCTTGCAGATAGTTAGTGTAGAGTTCACATGGGTGAACTTTGACATGCATATCATGACCATTAACCCATATGATTCAACTGGAGACTAAACTACAGATCTAGCTAACTGGTAGCATGCCTACTAATGTGGCTAGCTAGCATCTAGCTCAGCAAACTGTTACCAGCTATTCAGCTTGGTTAGTTTTCCAGCCACAGAAGCTTGACAGCTAGCAAGTAGTAACATCGAGCAACTAGTGGATGTAACTTACTGTTCAGTACAAAACCTCTTCTGGCTTGGAATGCATTGGACATTGGTTTACTCTTAGCCCAGAACACACGTCCAAAACAAGTTCAACCATTTGCCCCTCAGACTTGTTTAAACATTTTGCTTTGTTAAAAAGTCACTACACCAATGTTCAGCTGGTAAACTGGTGCATCCCTGAACTTTACTGAACATTCCAACCGCAATCATCGTTCACAAAAAACCCACAACAACACCCACACGTACTACGTGCAGCTGCCACACAGATGAATAATAGTAACAAAAAAGAAAGGTTTGATTGCCACCGAAATAATGCCACAGTTGTGCTTCTATGTTTAAAAGGTTAAAAGTGTGTCATAATATGAATTCTAAATCACGGCAGTAAAAAACACTCAGGGTTGAAATTACTTGGAGAGCTGAGAGGAGAGGCAGAGCGGTACAGAGAGATGTAAAGAGAAAAAAGAGAGTATGCTAGTTAAGTGGTACAGAGAAAGAGACAGATTTATTATGATCCCCATAGCAACACACACACACACACACACACACACACACACACACACACACAGAAGCTGCAGTGGGGCAGAGAGCATCACTTAGCGGCCCCTTAGCTGTCATAGCTTTATCCTACATTACACACACACTCACACTGATGGAGCCTTCTGGGAAATGTACCTTGTATTACTTTGTGTGTGAGTGTGTGCACGCGCATATGTGTGTGTGTGTGTGTGTGTGGTTTTGTGTGTGTTGACAAGTGTGTGGTATAGCAATTAACCCTTCAACCAAGAACACACACACACTAAGATACACTGTCACACACAGACACACACTTTCAATTATACTCATTCATAAATGTTGTCTCATCGCGCACACACACACACACACACACACACACACACACTGAGAGAGACTGTTAGAGAAATGTGCTCGCAGCTCTGCAGTGAGTGAACATAAACCCGTTGAGTTCTATGCACCAGCTCGCTGACACCTCGTCTCTTCCCGCCTCACAGGGGGAACACACACACAGAGGAAATCAGTCCAGCGGCTTAAAGGCAAACTCTGCTCAACTCTGATTCCCGTTCTGAGATCTTATTGTACAATAACACAGAGAGGAAGGGGGAGGGGGCGGCATATGTAGACACTCAAGAGGAAAATGGATGTAATGGTGCTCAGGAGTCCTCAAAGGTTCCAGAGGTTTGTGCAGCCACAACGAGTCTGATTATTACAGGACTGTGTGGTCTGAAGACATTAATCAATCAACATACTCACAACACAGCCTATTTAATCTAAATTCGCTTATAAACATTCCTCATTCATTTTCCGTAACCACTTATCCTGTTGGGGGTCGCGGGGGGGCTGGAGCCTATCCCAGCTGACATTGGACGAGAGGTGGGATTCACCCTGGACAGGTCACCAGACTATCACAGGGCTGACACATAGAGACAGACAACCATTCACACTCACATTCACACCTACGGACAATTTAGAGTCACCAGTTAACCTACATGTCTTTGGACTGTGGGAGGAAGCTGGAGTACCCATGCTGACATGGGGAGAACATGCAAACTAAGCATAGAGGGGCTCCCCCATCACAGGATTTGAACCCTCTTGCTGTGAAGCAACAATGCTAATCCCTGCACCACCATGCCGCCTACATTATATAAATATATAAACATTCCTGATAGGTCTAACTGTGCATTCACACCAAACGCGATGGATGCGATGTCATCGTCCGTAACGTGAGTATCGCGTCACTTGATCACAAACTTCAATCGCGACGCAACCCTCCTCCCGCAATTTTCTTCACCTCCTGCTATTTTCTCATCAACCATGGCTGAGTTAACTACCGTAGCTCTTTATCTGTTGTGGACATCTGATTTGGATTGGAGACCCAAACACCGCCGTGTCTGGGTTCACAATATCCTCCAGAAACGCACACAGCTGGTTGAATATCAGCACCTCCTGCAAGAGCTGCGTCTGGATGACGGTCATTTCCAGCGGTACTTCAGGCTGACGCTGGCCCAGTTTGAGGACCTGTTGGCCCGTATCGGTGCGAGGATCTCCCGCCTGGACACCAACTACAGGCGCTCCATCCCAGCTGCGGAGCGCCTGTCCATCTGTCTCCGGTTAGTTGCTTATAATTTCTTTATGAAAATGAACGCTGATTGGATGTCGCGGCACAGCGTCACGCGATGTCGCTTGAAAAGTTCAAAATTTTCAACTTCAAGCAACACACGCGATGAGGCGATGGACGCGTCATCGCTTTATCGCGTTGCTCTTATCGCCTGAAACGCGTCGCCTGAAGCGACATCGAGTGTCTTCGCGTCATTTACATTGATTTTGAATGGAAGCTTGTGGCGTTCATCGCATCCATCGCGTTTGGTGTGAACGCACAGTAAATGAGCATTCATTAATATGTTTTACATCAAAGTACCTACTTTGCAGTGGGCTATTTATAATTACATGGTACTTAAACTTTGCAGAGTTAGTGGTGAAAGCAAACAAATCTGTCCACACACTATGAATATCTCTATTTTCGCTTGAGGCATTTTCTTTGTTTGGATTTGGAATCAATAACTAGCCTCACAAAGGAGACTCAAGACCAGCCATCATTATTGAGATTTGATAAATTTTAGGAAAAGGTGTCAGGCCATAGACGTATGACACACATAGCTGACAAGATGTTAAAACTTTTTTTTTTTAATTCAGTGTATAAGCTACACATTTATACTATTGGAAAATGAAAAAATCACCATAGGGCTACAACAATGATGAATGAAAATCAAAATGTTAAATGTTCCCATATGAATGTAAAGCCGAATTTTGTTATTTCTTTTAAAACCTAACATGCTTTTGTTGGTGAAGGAAAAAAAAAAAACATCCTTTTGCAGTGTTGTACTGACATAGTGCGTTATATATTCTTTATTTTATTTAGTTTATTCTGTATGCAATCTGTATATTTCCTGTAAAAACGGAAGTGTATCTTAAAAACACAAAATGCATGTAACGGGCTAAAGGTGACACGGCATCCCAGAATGTCAATAACAAACGCACCAAGGCTACTTTGCACATCATATGTCGATCTGGAAAGTGTGAATGTGTTTTCTCAAACTGTCTGACCCTGAGGAGACGGTCCTGACAACTTTGAGTGTGAAGTGAGGGTTTTCTGTAGCCTGCAGGGCTTTAAGTAGCCCATTTTAGCCAGACCATAATTCCTGCTCTGTACAAAAAAAGCCCAAATTATGATAGTTTTCATACATTTAAAATTTTTAGAAATGGTTAAAAAAAAAAAGGAAAAACAAAATGATTCTGTACTACTGATCATCATATATGCAAATTGTTGGATAAAATTTGGTTATATAAAATTTTCAAAATCAAGGACATTTCTCTGCAATGTCTGCTTTTTTGCTGTATTGAAAACAAAACAAACCATGACTCCACTGTATCATATCAAACTGCACCTTGAGTCTTATGAACCGGTGACCTAGTATGGATACAATAACAGTATGAGCCAATATGAGAAAAAATATTTTCATAAAAGATACCAACTGTAGCTTTAATTCATTACCAGATTAATGAATTAATAGATTAATTATTAGTTTGAACTACAATGCAAAGGCTTTTTTTTACCACTAGTTATAATGCAATTTAGAACTTGGCATCTTCGTGAGTGGAGATTTTCTGAGCCCAGGGAGAAAAAGAAAAGACTTTAACGTAACTTTTTTTTAAATAAGATTCTTGTTGTCTACTGATTTGTTGCTCCTAAACATGTTAGTCACAAAAACAACAAGGAAATGGTGTTCCTTTGACTTAAACTAATTGAATGCATAATGCATACTCCACTTTCCATGTCCAAAACACAGCTTTATTATTCCCATTTAAGGGTAAAATATTATCTTAAATGGATTGTGTCTCAAACATTTATCCATGACAACCACTTTGGCCATCACATTTTCTTTTCCAGCTCTGTAAGTAGAGCTATAAATCACACCGTGTCATGTGGACTCACCCAGCGTCTGTCCGGCCAGCACCCTGCCATTCTCCCCGATCACAGCCCCCCTGGCGTGCCTCTCACTGGCGTACTGGACGAAGGCGTAGCCCTTGTGCACTGAGCAGCCCAGCACCCGGCCATACTTGGAGAAGATGCTTTCCACATCTGACTTCTTCACCACCGCTGTGTTCAGGTTGCCGATAAACACCCGGGAATTGATAGACTTTGGATCTGTCTTATTGGTCACATTACTGGTCTGGACCTTCAGCGACATGCTGGAGAGATGAGCGAAGGAAGTGACTGACGAATGGATGGATTGGGAGGGAGAGATGCAGAGAGATGGGGATCTGAGGAGAATAAAAGAGAACAGATAACTAGCGTTAGTCACAAAAGACATAATGGAGCACAGCTGCAACCTGCCACCTCACTGACTGAGACATTTGATGATCATAACTGTTCAAAAATTCTCACACCAGCTGCAAAAGCATGAGTCAGAAAACTTTATTTACTGAGCAAACTAGAGTTAATTCATTGTTCACAAAGGCATCAAGACCTTGGTGTAAAGTTACAAGTCACACTTTTGTGAGAATGTCATAAGAAATAAGAACGGTAATAGTGTGGGTAGGCAATGAAAGACACATACTTCTATTGTTAGTTCCAAAATGAATTTATTTATGGACTCAAAATTTCAGATTTTAAGCTTTTCAAATGATGATCAGAAAGTGTGTGCTCATATATCATCCCTTAAAGGTCTGACTTGGGGGAATATATTGGGAGAAATAGAATAATATATCCATCCATCCATTTTCATCCACGCCTAGACGCGGGGGCAGCAGGCCAAGCAAAGCACCCCAGACGTCCCTCTCCCCAGTGATGCTTTCCAGCTCCTCCTGGGGGACCCCAAGGCGTTCCCAGGCAAGACGAGATATGTAATCCCTCCAGCTTGTTCTGGGTCTACCCCGGGGCTTCATACCAGTGGGACGTGCCCAGAACACCTCTAACCCAGAAGGCATCTGATCAGATGGCTGAACCACCTCAACTGACCCCTTTCAACGCAAAGGAGCAGCGGCTCTACTCTGAGCTCCCTCTGGATGTCCGAGCTCCTCACCCTATCCCTAAGGCTGAGCCCAGACACCCTTTGGAGGAAACTCATTTCGGCCACTTGTATCTGCGATCTCACTACCCAGATTTCATGACCATACTGTAGGTGAGGGTTGGGACGTGGATGGACCACTAAATCGAAAGCTTTGCCTTCTGGCTCAGCTCTCTCTTCACCATAACAGTCCAGTGCAGAGCAGGCATCACTGCAGATGCCGCACCAAACCACTGATCCATCTCACGCTTCATTCTACCCTCACTCATAAACATGACCCAGTTTGCCCAGTCATCAAGAAGACCTTGACTGGTAGTGACTGGAATCAGGTTTGGGTGCATTGTGTGCCAGGCAGCAGGCAGGTGAGTGTGCTGATACCCGGCATTATAGACTGTAATAATACAATACAATACAATACAATATAATAAGTATGTTTTCTTTCAAGTACAATCACCTGAAAATAAGAATTGTTGTGTTTTCATTACTGTAGAATGAGCCAATTACATCTACTGGCGGAGCAGGTCCTCTTCGTTACAGTAGCCCAAATGAAACAACAAAACAAAAGCTAGATAAGGCCATTCGCGTTTTCATGTCAGCCACAGTAGTTGTTCTTCACGCTTAACAGACAGGAGACGTTTCTCCGTCTGGTTGCAATCTGGAATCTCAACACTAAATGCCACTAAATCCTGTGCTAAACACTAGATCTTCAAACCTGTAAAACCTCTGCTAGAGAAATGCAGGTTTGTAAATGTGTAGAAATTATCTGTAGTTATGAAAAAAGTGTCTGAATGAAAATTAAACTGTCACATTGACTCCAATTGCAGATTCCTTTATTAGCTCAACTGAATAACACAGCCTCATTTATAATACACAAAGGGCATCTTTTAGAGGTTCTTTTACATCAAATCTAGTCAACACTGGTACAAAACTGGAACATTTTTTAAAGAAAAGATTCACTAATAAAGAGATGACTCTTAAACTCTCTTAAACTAAGTTATAATGAGCACTGATGCAGATAAACAACACGTCCAATAACTCAAGTATCATCTTCACCTCTCTACTCTTACTGCTGGGAAACATCGAGTGTTCCTTCAAATAGAGACTATTCACAAAGTACTCATTATACACAAACCAGTGCCACTCAAATTTTCTGACTACTCAACAGAAGGCCTTCAACTGAAAGGGAAAGAGCAGCTCAAGTTAAATCCAGATGTCTTTTTGCATTAAAGCAAGCGAGTGGCAGCAGTCTGAACCACCGTTGCTTCATCGCATGAGACGAGCTCAATCGATCACAGAGAAAGATTTGAAAACCAAATATAGTTTTTATCTCCTTCTTCGCTGTGTGCCGATTCCCTCCATCCACACAACTAATGAACACAAGCTGAGAGGGCAAAAGGAGAAGGTAAGACAGGAAAGAGAAGAAGAGGAAAGAAGAGGAGCACTGACAGGAAAGGGAAAGGCTAAAATGAAAGAGAAAGAAAGGATTGGGAAGGATCAAGAGAAGAGAGGGGTGAGAGCACTGCCTTAGCAATCTATCAGGGGGCAACATGTGAAGCTCCTCTCTTCAGGTGTTGCTGTAAAGCTCCAGAGGATTATGTGTCACTTCAAACATGCTTCATTTATGCTTAGCATTCAGATGTAAACTTGGCATTTACAGAAAGCTGAGGGAGTCAAGTAAATGATGCATCTAAACTACTAATAGTACAGTAGTGGGAGTGAAGTCTGACAGATGATTCAGCGGAGAGGAGATGGAACATCTTGTTGTTTGGTGTCAAAATGCAGAGGGGCAGGAGGAGACAGAAAGGAACGCAGCAGTATGAGAGACGGAGCTGTTGGAACGGTGACCTGGGCAAACACATCACCACTGCTGGGTAGAGTACTGAAAATCTATACTCGAGTAAAAGTATAATTACTCCCCTAAAAATGACTCAAGTTAAAGTTAAAAAAAAAGACCATTTAAGACACAAACTCAGGTAAATTACTCAAAAATACAAGTTACTTTGCATTTTGATATATTTTTGTGGTGTGCGTGTCAGTGCAAAATACTGAATGAATTCAAAAGGCCAGCAGTCCACTAGCTACAAGATAAGTTAATGTCATTCTCATGACATTGAAGATTAATGTTACACATCAGAAATTAATGTGCACGTTAACCAACATGTGCGACTTCAGTGTGCTTGCGGAGGATAGAAGCTTTTGAAAGTGACAATCTCACAGCAAGCACTTCATCAGGTAATCCCTGTGGCCAGGGACCGCAGGGTTGCTTTGTCATCGGCATCTACAGCAACGATACTCTTAACGTGCCCTTCCCCTTTTTATTTAGAGTAGACTCATTGTATAAAGGGTATAAATAATAAATGAAGGAACTTGAAAAGTACTCGTTCCTTAACAAAAACAAACTGCTCTTTCTATTTATGTGCATTAGTTGTAAGGCGTTGCTACCGACCCCTGCACATGACTCACATTTTATTTTATTTTTCTCTTAATTATGAATGGCTAGTTCCCCAGTCTTTGTGGTTCTTGTCACTGCTGCCTCCCTTTGCTGTCCTCTGGAGGGTGAGAACAGCCACGTGTCTTCCAGAGCTGTAGACGTGAGATCTGGAATGAAGTCAAACTTGATTCACTAAAATGAGGACTTGAAACTCTAGAGAGATTTCACTTGAGACTTGAACGCTTTTGTTTTTGACCTGGAATTAATCTGGCTCAGTGAAAATAAGTTTAAAAGTAAGAAAATGTGTAAAAAACTTTATTATGTAAAAATTGTAAAACAGTGCCACAAAGGTCACAAACCTCCACAGGGAACCTATGAACATGAGGGAGTAACACACTACATATGAGGGCTACACTTTCTTATAATCACAACTGACTGCTTCAATTTAGCTTTTTGAAAAAATGTATTTATATTATATATATTTAAGCAGATAAATTCTGTACCAGCAGTATTTAAAAACAGTTTTAAGAGTAATGTGTCTTTTCTGTTTTATGTCTCAGTCACTGGAGGACCACAGTTACTAACAGTATATCTCTCTCTTTGCAACGAACATGAAATTGAACTAAAAAAAAAAAAAGCGGTTGTAAAACATCACAGCACATCTCCCCACTGCTGGAGACAAAAGAGCAAAAACTACAGAAAAATCAAAGTGAACTTGAAAATAAAAGCAAATCAAATATTGTATGCTGTTTGAAAAGCATCAGACATTCACACATATACTTACCACACACATACTGTGTGTGGTAAATGGACTTGCACTTGTAGAGCACCTTTCTTGTAAAATGATCTCTGTCTATGTTGATTTCTTTCGGCTGGATGATGAAAAATGTGACTTTTGTTTCAAAGGAGGAACCTTTCTTGAGGCTGAATTTCTTTGCCAGGCCTGGGATAGAAGGCAGAGTATCCTGATTCTGGACTGAGTAGTTAAACAACATCACTGTAATGGTGTATTGTAAACCTAGGAGGGTTGGGCACATGTACGTGTGCATGACACAAAGTAAAAAATCAAATCAATCAATCAATCTAGTCTTCCAACCACCCAAAGCACTTTAATGCTACATGTCACATTCACACACTGGTGGCTACCATACAAGGTGTCACCTGCAACTCACTTTGAATGAACACCAATGGAGCGGTCATTTGGAATTTTGTTTCGTTCTTGTCTTGCCGCATTTCCCTGCGTTTCCCCATGATGCCGCAGATCGCCGTTAATCCACAACAGCGATCTGCCGCGTATGCTGACATTCAAGGACAGCTTTATTCGTTAGTATGTGATGCTTCAAACCACTGCCCAAGCACTGGATTTCAACAACTTCGGAGTGAGACCGAGTTGGTCACGCCCGACATGCTCGTTTTGCTTCTGCGATGCTGGCATGCTGTCAAGGATGACACACTAGAGAAACATGATGCTACCGTAGTTTGGGTCTGTGTAAAAATGCAAAGGAGGCATAAGGAAGGGACTTAGTAGCAGCTCTATAGTGCCATCTCCGTGTAAAAATGGCTGCCACAGTAAAAGCCTCCACTCTTCTGGTGATAAGGTTGGCGTTCCAGGTTATCCTTACATCATGCTTAATACGTCTTTCTGCACAGGACATATCAACACAAACTGCTGCAACAAAGTCAAAAGCATGCTGTTGTCTTAAATATTTTATCGGGTGTATCATTTCCTTTATTTGAACTATAATAAACATGAAAAAACCTAGAGACCTAGTGCTGGACAAGTGTGTGTCCACATACTTTTGTCCACATCTGTCTTTCCCACT